GTGAAACACTTCCTAACATGGATGAACTTGGAGGACATTATGGTGAGTAAAATAAATCAATCACAGAAGGACAAATACGATTATAATTGCACTATTTTAAAAAGTCAAGAAGGAAACTTTCTTTGTTGATTACCAGGGATGGGATGGAAAATTGCTAGCTAGGTGTGGTAATTAAGGTTGTGTGTCAACTTGTCTAGGCCATGGTTTTGAGTGGCTGAGAGTGGGATGTGGTTATTCCCCACAATGAGACTGTAATCACCTCCATGATGGAATCTGCTGGGAGCAGGTAAGTAGCTGTCATCGGTATGTGGCCAGCTTCCAGTATTTAAGAAGCTTTGAGAAAGGTCTCTATAGCTTTTGGCACATCTGGATCCTGCATTTGGCTGAGTCTTCATCTCAGTGCCCTGCCATGTTGCCTGCCAATATTGAGATTGTTCCTGGAGTTGAACTAGTGTCCTGCCATGCTGTCTGCTAATCCTGGGATTTTGCCATCATACCTGTTGACCTTGGGTTTGTCACCCTCCACAGCCAGCAGCTGCTTGAGTTATAAGAAGCCTCCAGGTCCAGTGAGCTGGGAGCAAGAGGCAGAGCTGAAGCCCAAGGTCAAGGGCCTTTACCAAGCCCCTAGAGCTGGCACTTTCAACTTGGACTTTTAGCCTTTTCAACTGTAAGAGAATAAATTCCTGTTTGTTAAACCATCCACTTGTGGTATGTCTGTTATAGCAGCACCAGAGAACCAAGACACTAGGTAAGAGACACATATTGATTTGGGTGAAGATAAAGGCAATGTAATAGAAGCAAGTGACCACCACAATTCACTAAGTAAAAGGAAGACATAGAAAAGTGCACAAGAAGTACAGACAACAAAAGTAAACACTATTACATACACAGGGGAGCTCTGGTAGCATAGTGTCTAAGGCACCTGACTGCTAACCAGAAGGCTGGCAGTTCAAACCCACCAGCCACTCCTCAGAAAGAAGGTTGGGCAATCTACTTCTGTAGTGATACTGCCTCGGAAACCGAAGGAGGGGTCACTATGAGTTGGGTCTGACTTGACGGCACATAACAACAACAACAACATTACATACACAATACTGCATAATCATTAATAACAAACATTTACCAACAGGTAGATACACAGGTAGATGGGCTAAATGATCAGTTATGGGTAGATAAACAGGAGTATATCAATGACCATATATAGATCTGGCAGACAATATTTCTGTATTTGTAAGTGCTAAGAAAATGTCTATACAAAAACTCACTGCCATCAAGTTGATTCTGACTCACAGTAACCCCTATTAGGTTTCCAAGGCTGTAAGTCTTTACAGAAGTAGATTGCCCCATCTTCTGTGAGTGGCTAGTGGGTTTGAACCGCTGACCTTCTGATTAGCAGCCAAATGCCTTATTCACTATGCCACCAGAACATAACTATCTTTCTATCTCTCCACCTATCTATCTATCTATCTATCTATCTATAAGGAGCTCTGGTGGTGGAGTGCCTAAGGCATTTGACTACTAACCAGAAGACTGATAGTTCAAACCCACCAACTACTCCATAGAAGGAAGAATGGGCATACTATCATAAAGATTTACCACCTTGGAAACCCAAAGGGAGTCACTATGAGTGAGAATCAACTTGATGGCAGTGTGTTTTCTGTTTATATAAAGCTAATGGGGGGTAACGTTATAACACCTTCTTAGCCACAATTAAACCACTTGAAGTCGTAAGTTGCTGGGCCTGTGGGCTTGGGACCATGGTCACAGGGGACAGACATCAAGCTCCACTGGCATAACACAGTACACCACAAAAACACTGGTCTATGTCCAACTTTGGTGGGTAGCAACTGGGCTCTTAAAAGGTTGTGAGTGACCATTTACAATGCAACTACTGGTCTCTCTTTGTCCACAGCAAAGATGAAGAAAATCAAACATGCATGGAAATAATTAGTCCAAGGGATTAGTGGACCACCCAAAGGAATCTCAGCCTACATGACCTTGAGACCAGAAGAACTAGATGGTGCCCGGCTACCACAGACAACCACTCAGAGGGGGATCTATGTAGGAGATCCTAGATAGAGTGGAAAAACAATGTGGAACAAAACTCAAAATCATAAAAAAGACCAAGCTTACTGGTCTGACAGAGACTGGGGAAACTCCCAAGTCTATGATCCTAGTCAGTCCTCCGGCCTAGAACTGAATCCACTCCCATGGCTTAACTTTCAGCCAAATAACAAACAGACCTATGAGGTGAACAATTATACCATGGAAGTGCCCTTCTTCAATCAATCAATCATGGGAGATCCTAAGGGCAGCATTTGTGCAGGGAGAAAGCTCAGAAGGCAGAAATGCAGAGTAAAGAAGGACACAGAGAAAAGGTAACCACAGGGAGGAAATGGGAAGAAAGCTGTCACATTGCGAGAATTGCAATCTATGTCACAAAACAAAAAGGTATATGAACTAATGAATGGAAAACAACTTTGTTCTGTAAACTTTCACCCAAATCACAAAATTTGTTCTAAAAAAAGAACAATCAAACCAAACTCAGAGCCATTGAGTCAATTCTGACTCCCAGTAACCCTACAGAACAGAGTAGAACTTTCCCATAGAGTTTCCAAGGCTGTAAATATTTATGGTAGCAGACTGCCTCATCTTTCCCCCACAGAGCAGCTGGCTGGTTCAAACCACCAACCTTTTGGTTAGCAACCAAATGCTTTAACTACTGCACCACCAGACCTATGGGGCAGCTCTATTCTGCCCCACAGGGTTGCTATGAATCAGAATCAACACTATGGCACACACTGACAACAGTTCTACAAAAACAAGTTTTCCAAAATCACCAATATAAAATTGTAACTCATTTTAAGCCAAAAAATTTAAGTAAAAATTTTAAACACTGATTAAGTGCAACTCTGCATCCTTTAAAGATTTTATTTCTTAGCAGACAAAATTCTAATATGAATACATGTAAATCAGGATAAAACTATTTATTTTCCAAAGCATGTATGGGCAATTTCTTTAAGCAAACTTTCCTGTGGATTTAAAACATTATTTTACTCACAAATGTTTAATTATAAATAACATTTAAAATAAATATATTACACTATGCAATCCTCAGCCTACATGACTATGAGACCAGAACTAGATGGTGCCCAGCTACCACTGTCAACCACTCGGAGGGGGATCTATGTAGGAGATCCTGGATACAGTGTGAGAACAATGTGGAACAAAACTCAAAATCAAAACCAAAAAAGAAAAAAAAAAAAAGGACCAGATTAGCTGGTCTGATAAAGCCTGGTAAAAGCCCTGAGACTACGGCCCCTAGCTGCACTTCAGGTCTAGAATTGAACCGACTCCTTTGGCTTCCAACAAAAGACAGGCATATGAGCTGAACATTTACATTAGGTAGATACACTCCTTGGAGAGATCAATCATGGGTATGCATAGGGAGACAGTCTGGGGCCAGGAGTGCATGGGAGGGAAGGACACAGGGAAGAAGTAACTACAAGAAGGAAGTGGGAAGAGAGATGTTGCATTGTGAGAAACTGCAGTCAATGTCATTAAACAAAGTGTATGTGAACTACTGTATGAAAAATGAATTTGCTCTGGAAACTTTTACCTAAATCACAATAAAAAATTTTTTAAAAGACATATTAAACCATGAGGGGTGCATTTGGAATATATGCACTATTTTTGTAGGGGAAAAAGGACTAGTTTCTTGAGGGTACCATGTGAAGGACTAGTCCATAGACTGTTTTTCTGGATGGCCTTTATACTTTTCATTACATGTTCAACCTACTTTTACAACAGCTTTATAGCTCACTGTTCCCCAATATATAGCCTTCACAACAAAACTGTTATTTGTAAGGTTTCTGAAAGTACCATGGACTGCAAGAGGAATGAACAAATCTATCCTGGAAGAAGTACAGCCGAAATGCTCCCTGGAAACGAGAAGGCCAGACTTCGTCTGACCCACTTTGGTCATGTTGTCAGAAGGGGCCATTCCCTGGAGAAGGCTATCATGCTTGATAAAAGCAGAGGGTCAACAAAAAAGGGGAAGGCCCTCAATGAGACGGACTGACACAGCAGCTGCAATGATGGGCTGAGGAATAGCAAGGATTGTGAGGCTGGCACAGGACCGGGCAGTGCTGCGTTCTGTTGTACATAGGGTCACTGAGTCAGAGCCGACTTGACGGCACCTAACAACAACAACCAAACTTGACACAATGGCTGCAAGGATGGCCTCAAGCACAGCAGGGATTGTGAGGATGGCACAGGACCAGGCAGTGTTTCGTTCTGTTTTACACAGGGTTGCTTTGAGTCAAAACCGACTCAACAACAAAACCAAGGTGAAATACGAAGTCTCCTCTCAACATTCTCCATGTGCTTCCACATCTTTGTGCCTGAATGCATGCTCAAGGGATCCCTACAGCTTAGAATGGTCTCTTCTTCCAGTGCCACCTATCGTAACACTTCTTCATTCTCCAAGGTTCAAATGAATGTCATCTCTTCATCACTGCTTTTCTGATCATTCTCTTCCACTGGAAATGGAGCTCTTCAATCGAAAGAGATCTTTTCCTCCTTTGATCTCCCACCTACAGCATCTTTATTCAATCTCTTAAAGGACTTACACAAATAGTCCATTACAACAGAATAAAACGTACGTATTTTCTTCTCTAAGTCCTTGTAACAGAGGGTAACAATTAGTCATTTTATCCACTTAAGGCACCTTAGAAAATGTGATATAGGCACTCAGTAAGTATTTATTAAACATTTAAATGTACGTTCTTCCATATACCACAAAAGATTTGAACTGACTGAAATGAAACTTCATTCTGTTATAAATTACACTGTTCCAGCACTCTGAAGTAGGGCAGACCTTGGTTACCCTTTCTGGTTACATAAATCAACTGAAAGGAGTAACACAGATTCAAAGTTTTATATTTCACTTGAAAACGAGAGCATGTCCATTTTGTACTACTCTGCAAGTGATTACTTACCTGAGACCATGATCTGTGATCTGATAACATCCTGACAGACTGAGAAAGAGAAGTACCCGTCCAGTCTCTTGCTCAGATTTTTCATTCCCAGAGTAAATTAAGTCTTTTCCCATAGGCAATCTAGTCCTTGATGCTTTTCTACATGATGCAGAGGACTCTGGGAGGGATGACATAGTTCTTAGAGCAGTTCCTGTACAACAAAATGAATGGCCACAATACGCAAAGGCAGGAGAAGCACAATGCTGCTGCCAACAGACACTAGTCCTTAGTCCAACAATATCCTTACTGTAACAGCCAGAGGTGGAACAACTAAAGTTGGATGCTGTTTCCATTACACAAAGACTTTCAACATTTCTATGTCTCCATTCTACAGCATCTTCAATATCAGCCAAATCTTCAGCATCTAGCATCCACACATAAGGAGAACTGAAATTTTCAGAAGAAACAGGCTTAGTCCAGGGGTGTTCATTATCAATTTCTTCTTCAATGCCTTTGTTAGTTAAATCGTGCAAACACATATACTGCTTGGTAGACTGCAATGTAATGTCTTTATTTTTCCATGCAGTCGAAGCAATTTTGCTTTTCGAAGTTTTCAAAAGGCCACTCCGATGAGATGTCAGAATTCCAAGAGCTCTGGAGATCTTCTCGAGAGCCACATCTGTGATTTTCTCACATCCAGACAGATCAAGATGCCGAAGACTCTGGCAGCAACCAAGCCAAGACCAACTATAATAAAAGGTAACGAAACAATTAATGAGCTTGCTGAATTCTTCAAAAGCACTTGATTATTTCTATGTAGATAGCAACTAGAAGAAAAATTTAAATGCAACATAATCACTCAACTATTTTATGAATGTCTCTTCTCAGGCACTGTTTTAGGTGCTGGGGTATGAAGAGACAATGAGAATAGTAAGGAACTCAAAGTATTGCTAACCTAACAGAAGGAGAAGATGGAGAAGGGTAAGGATGGGAGAGAGCTAAGTAAGTGTATTATCCTGACAAGTAACCAGTAGAGGAGAAGCTGTACACACATGAAAGTGGGTAACTGAAGATCTAGAAGAACAGGCCCAACGAAGTAACTGGTAAAGCATAAACCTTAGCCAGAGAAGAGTGTAACTCTTCCTCTGAAACAGGAAGGAAAGTGTTGACAGAGATGGGAAGAGGTGGGTTAAGGTGAGAGGAAATTGATAGCATCCAGGGAAATATAATCTGCAAAGAGTGTAACATGAAGAAAGTGGTCCCGTTTTAGAGTATTTGTCAGGAAATAAGAGAGAGCTTTGCAGAAAGGCACTCAAGAGGCCAACTGACAACGAGTGTCTTCAAAATATATGGTTCCAGTTTACATGGTTGCTCAGCAAGGCTTGAAGGCCTCAAGAGAGTACAGGATAACAAAGAAGGTAGAACGTTATTAAGTGGAGTTTTCGATGGACAATATGACCAATGGACAAGAGTCATATAATTGGAGGGTACTATCAGGTTATAGCCATACATGACTAAGATTTGACAGTAAAATGGAATATTATGATTAAACCACAATTACATAAACAAGAAACCACAGAACAACTCTACTAATGCATAGGAATTATATTTAAATATTTAAAAATAACTAACCTGTCAAATGCAGAATCTGAAATGTCTGTCTGGGTAAGATCCAGATGCTCCAGATTAGGACAAAGCTCTAAAATCTGCCTAACCTAAGAAAGAAAAAGTCACCATAAAACTCTGCAGACTTCTAGTTAGTTAAGAAAAAGATAATTATCAGTAAATGATATTACCCAGTGGTGCTGTATTAAATATATACCCTCTAGGCTTGAATCCCTGAGAATCTGATTTAGTAATTGTAAGTTAGGACCTGGAAATTCACATTTTTCAGAGATACCCAAAGAGACTCCAATGTACACAGTCACAGGATGCACTTTTATCAAACACTGATTCACTCTCACCTGCCCGTCCACCATGCCTCACATATTATAAGAATCAGACAGAACGGTACTTCATCACTTATATCTGTAAAACAATAAATTATTTAGCCTTGCCTAGTCTTACTTTCCTTACCTCTAACATGGGGACAGTGATACCTATACTGCAAAGATTTCTGGAGAACTGAAATACAATCACATATGAAAGTCAGCAGTGTATGCCTTCCCATGGGAAGGCAGTCAATAAATTGCTGTTATGTTGTTATGTGCTATCAATAGTTGCTATAAAATTTTTTTCCTTAAATTCAGGGGTAAGCAAACTAAAGGTATATCATTATTACTTTTCCTTAATATCCAAACTACTGCTAATTTATACATACCATTTTGCTCGAAACTGCAGAGCTGTAGGCTAATACTAAAGTTTTTACAGAAGGACCAACATATGGGAGAACATCATGAATTAAGCCGTGGAGTAAACGTTTTTCCATTTGTGCAATGCTGATAGCAATCGATTCCTCTGCTGACTCCTCTGTAAAATGAATTCAGAAGTTTAAGAACTTGATAACGCTCACTCATTATAATTAGTTTACTCAAGGAATCACCAAAACGTTAAATACAGAATACTTTCTGCTACCACCTTAAACTTCCTTATGTATGTGAAACAAGTTAAATGGACAAGGACTCACTCTCTGAGATCAACTAAAGAGGCAAAAGAATCAAAAAACAGGTTTCCAACGAGAATAGGTAAGTTTTTTGCATGTGTGTTTCAACACTGAAAGTGACTTTCATATCAAAGTAAGTGGAATAAGGAGAAAAAGAAGTCCCTTTTCAGGCAACGAAAATAGTTTGGGAAAAAAGGAAAACTACTCTCAATATTAAAATGACAGGTAAAAGTTCTTCAAGGGAATATATGATATCAAAAGAAAAATGACCTATGATAAAAAATGTCAGCAGTTATTTTACCTAAATAAAAAGGATACAGAGCAAGAAAATATTTGAAACTGAACTAAGTCAGCTTAATCATAATGAATCAAGCAAAGGATTTTTAATGGTCATGGCTTCTACTTTTTATTTAACACTTCTGTAAAACTTGTATATTCAGAAGGAGTTATACTACTTCTGTAACAACCACAACAAAAAAGACTTACAACACAGAAATTACATGCAAAAGAACAAACTAATCACTTGATTGGGAGCTCTGGTAGTGTAGTGCCTAAGGCACTTGACTGCTAACCAGAAACTTGGTGGTTCCCCGGAAGGAAGATAGGGCAATCTACTTCCGTAGTGATACTGCCTCGGAAACCCAAGGAGGGGTCGCTATGAGTCAGGTCCAACTCGATGGCACATAACAACAAGAACAACAATCACTTAATTGCCTTTCTCAGGATGCTACTGTTGCTATGCTTACCTACAGACTTAACTTTAAATGTCTCTAAATAGGAAACAGGTTAAATTATTTAACAGAATAAACTAAAGAAATCTCATTTAAAACAAAACCAAGTATAAATGACAAAAGGAATATAAGTGGAAAGAATCATTACAAAATTTGTTAGTAATGATTCCACATTTACAGGTATTACCCTAAGTTGCTCCTTTAAGTCAGTCATTACCTTAGACATGTTTGCATAATACATAGAAAATAAACATTACTTCAGGGAACCCTGTTTATTCTCCTAGGAGTCACTGGGTAGAACTAACAGTTAAGTGCTTGACTACTAACCATAACGTTGGTGCTTCGAACCCACTCAGAGATGCCTCAAAAGCCTGGCGATGTAGTTCTGAAAAGTCCTCACTTTGAAAACCCAAGGGAGCAATTCTGTTCTAAACACACAGGGTCACTATGAGTCAGAATCGACTCCACGGCAGATACCACCACTACCACCAATTTATAATACTATAATTTTATTCCCAAGCCATTCTTTTGTTCCTGTGTCCCTCTCTAAATGTACACTGTTTAATGCTACATCTTCTAAAGAAAAAAATAAATAAGCACCCTATGAAGTTCATGACTTCTCCACATGACCAGTAAAAATCACCGAACTGAAAAAGCACTTGAGTAGATGGTACATCCAAAGTTTAATCTGAAGCCCACTAAACAACTGCTTTACAGGTTTAACCTTTCATTTACAATGAAGAAAAACAATAGTCTTTTCTTTGGCCATCTACAAGTGTTGAAACAAATATACTAAGTATGATAAAGCCTTTAAAACTCTTAAGAAAGATACTATGAAGTACTTTCCTAGAATGGATAAATCAAGTCTTCCCTAAGGTTACATCTCAGCAAAGACCTCACACCTCCTTCAGGTCTTTACTGAAATTTCACTCTTAGGGAACCTTAACAGACCACTCTACATAAAATGGCAACTCCTTTCCTCTCTCTGTGGCACCCTTTCTCATTTTTATTTTTCCCCACAGCACATATCACCATCTAACATGCTGCTGTTAGGTGCTACTGAGGCTGTTCCAATGCCCGGTGATCCTACGTACAGCAGAACAAACAGTGCCCGTCCGGCGCCCTCCTCACGCTCACTGCCATGTTTGAGCTTACTGTTGCAGCTGCTGTGTCAATCCACTTCACTGAGGGTCTTCCTTTTTTGTGCTGACCCTCTACTTTAATGAGCATGAGGCTCTTCTCCAGGGACTGTTCCCTCCTGGTAGCATGTCCCAAGTAGGTAAGAAGTCTTGCCATCCTCACATCTAAGGAACACTCTGGCTGTCCAAAGCAGATTTGTTCCTTCTTCTGGCAGTCCATGGTATTTTCAATGTTCTTCACCAACACCATAATTCAAAGGCATCCATTCTTCTTTTGTTTTACTTATTCACAGTCCAGCTTTGAAATGTCTAACAGGTGACTGAAAATATCATGGCTTAGGTAACGCACACCTTAGCCTTCAAAGTGACATCTTTGCTTTCTAACACTTTAAAGAGGTCTCTCACCTGTTTGCATTTGCCCAATGCCATATGTCATGGGTGCTGATTGTGTCTTCAAATAAAATGAAATCTTTGAAGATTTCAATCTTTTTTATTTTTTATTGTGATGCTGCTTACTGGTCCAGTTGTGAGGATTTTTGTTTCCTTTATGTTGAACTATAATCCATACTGCAGACTGTAGTCTTTGATCTTCACTAAGTCAGTGCTTGAAGTCTTCTTCACTTTCAGCAAGCAAGGCTGTGTCATCTGTATATCACAGGTTGTTAATGAGTCTTCCTCCAATCCTGATGCTGCGTTTTCGTTCTCATAGTCCAGCTTCTGGGATTATTTGTTCAGCATACAGATCAAGTAAGTATGGTGAACCGATACAACCCTGGTGCACTTTTCCTGATTTTAAATCATGCAGTATCTTCTTGTTCTGTTCGAACAACATCCTCTTGGTTCATGTACAGGTTCCTCCTGGGCACAATTAAGTGTTCTGGAATTCCCATTCTTCGCAATGTTATCCATAATTTGTATGATTCATAGTTGACTGCCTTTGTAAAGTCAATCAAACACAGGAAACATCTTTCTGGAATATTCTGCTTTCTGCCAAGAACCACCTAACATCAGTATTGACATCCTTCATTCCATGTCCTCTATACACTATCTAACATAGTATGTATGTTACCTGTGTTTACTGTCTGCTTCTCCTCTCCAAATTTTAAGCTCTAAAAGGCCAGAGATTTTTGTCTATTTTGTTCACTAGTATATCCCTCATGCCTGACCCAGGCACATTTAATCCTTTTGAATAACCAGCTTTTTTTTTTTTTTTTTTTAATTTTAAAGAGATCTGGATGAAAGTTTACAGAGCAAATTCATCCTCCATATAGCAGTTCACATACTTTGTCTCATGACACTGACTATAATTTACCATAGTGTAACAGCTCCCCTCCCACGTACTCCCCATTGCCACCTCTTCCCTGTGTCCTTCCCTCCCATGCACTCCTGCCCCCCAAGCTGTCTCCCTGTGCATACATAACCCTTCTATTCTCCCATGATTGATCTCTCCAAGGACTGTATTTGTTGTTGTCATGTGCTGTCGAGTAGGACCCGACTCATAGCGACCCCTCCTTGGGTTTCCGAGGCAGTATCACTACGGAAATAGATTGCCCCATCTTCCTTCCAAGGAGTGGCTGGTGGGTTTGAACCACCAGTCTTCTGGTTAGCAGTCAATTGCCTTAGGCACTAAGCTACCACAGCTCCTAAGGAGTGTATCTACCTAATGTAAATGTTCAGCTCATATGCCTGTCTTGTCTGGCTGAAAGCCAGACGGATGGGTTCAATTCCAGACCTGAAGGGCAACTAGGGGCCATAGTCTCAGTGGCTCCATCAGGCTCTCTCAGACTAGCAAATCTCGTCCCTTTTTCTGTATTGATTTTGTGTTTTGTTCCCCATTGTTCTCCCATTCTATCTAGGATCTCCTACATAGATCCCCCTCCGAGCCTCCGAGTGGTTGACAGTGGTAGCTGAGCACCATCTAGTTCTTCTGGACTCATAGTCGTAGAGGCTGAGGATCGCAGGGTGTACCAGAACCTTAGACTGTTTCCATGCGTCTTTAGTTTTCTTCATTCTTCTTTGTTTTCTATGAGGAGAGATCCATCGTTGCATCTAGATGGCTGCTTGCAAGCTTTTAAGACCCCACTTGCTACTCATCCAAGTAGGATGTGGAACAGTGTTTTTGTGTAGTATGTTATGCCAATTGAGCTTGATGTCCCCTGCAACTA